TGACAACCTCAGCCTCCTTGAAGTCTTTCGGGTGGTGCCCCAGCGTCAGACACAGTTAGGCATCCTTCATAGAGCTCCCGCACCAGGTTTCCAATTGCTGGCCATGCGGCTCGCAGCAGCTTTACAGTAATGTCGTCAGAGCCAGGGGATGTGTTTCCCGTGTCGATGGTCGCTTTTCGCGCCTCCTCTGCGGAAACATGTGAGGAAAAGGGCAGAGATTGGTTGGGAGAGACGTCTACCCAGGGATTCTCTATGTCGTCCCCAGATGTTCTTCTCTCGAGAGTTGCCTGGCGAAGAGCTGTAGCCTTCTCGGTCATTGTCTCGTAGACGGTGCCGTTTACTTGTAGTGGAGGCGGCTGGAAAGGGCTTCGGGCCTTAGTCCATCGTGTGATCTTGAATATGTCTTCATTGCTTGACACTTTGTCAACTAGTGCTTGCCAGAATAAGCGTTCGGTATCGCGGACTACCCGTTGGAGCCTCTTCCTAGCGAGCCGCGCTTCAGCCGCTTCCTAGCGAGCTGCGCTTCTTTGCCATACCCCAGAGGGTAGATGCGTCTCATAGATCTATACTCGGCAGCAGCCAGTGCACACTTGTCATTCCACCATGGCGCGGCCCGTGCCCTTTTCCTGGTGAGGTGCCCGGCCCTGCTGGCCGCTGATTGCAGCATGGATGTGAGCGATGCTGCCAAGGCATCGAGTCCTTCTGTGGAGGATGTTTGCGTAGGAAGAGCGGAGGCCTCCATCTCCACGATCTCACCGAAGCGTTTGAGTTCGTCGTCCGACGTGACCCGGATCTTGCCGAGCAGACGAGGGGGTGTGATGCATGGATGGGATGGTCAAGCTCAGCGTGAAATGATCCGAGCTTGTGGCCAGATGGTCCTCCACCGTGGCCTCCGCACGAGGAATGTTTGAGAAGGCGAGATCGATGGTGTTGCCGTACCGGTTGGTCGGGCTTGTTGGGTGGATTGAGGAGGGACAGGTCATTCCGTGTTGCCCACGTCGCGATGTCGTTGCCGCGACCGGTCGTATCTCCCGCTTGCCAGGAGTAGTGTCTGGCGTTGAAGTCTCCGACAACTACACATCGACCGGGAATTGGCCCCCCAACAACCACACATCGACCGGGAATTGGCCACTGTACGAGAAGGTCGAGAGTCTCGTGGACGCCAGGTTGTCGATAGACATTCACAAAGGTAGTATCATCAACGTGTAGCCACAACATGTCCCTTGACGGTGAGGGCCGGAGTTGGTCAGCCAACAACGTAGGGCTGCGTCGAAGGTATGTTATAACCCGGGGCCGGGTGCTGGGGCCCTCCCAGTAGTCCACCGAGGAGAATGCGTCATAGGCGGGATGAGTCTCGGTGAGGCATCGGCCATCTTTGACATCAGTCCAGGGCTCCTGTAGCAGTATCAGGTCGAATCGCTCTGCGTCGGCCAGTGCGAGGGCACAGTCGTGTGATGGGCCGCCTTTGCCCACGTTGGCTTGGAAGATTCGGAGGTCCTGTCTACGGCGTGGGGTTGCTTGCTTCCTTCTCATAGATCTGAGTTGGTGGGTTCGAGTCGTCTTTTCTTCGGGGCAACAGGAAGGCTTTGGGAGGATTCGCTATCATCCGATTCAGGAGACTCGCTGTCGTCCGATTCGGGAGTGGCGGGGGGTTCGCGCGCGCATGGCGAGGAGATGAGTGGATGAGGGCTGGATGAGGTTGCGTCAGCAGGTGCAATAATCTCCATGTTATGTTGTCGGAATAGGCTGGCTCCGTTCTGTCTGACCAGATCCCTCTGGGGCTTCGTGAGCCTTTAGATCGTCCCATGAATCCTTTTTGGGCGTGCTGGGCAGATAGGAAAGTCGGCGGCGTGGGGCGCCAGGCAGTTGACGCATTGCTCCGGTGCGGAGCATTCTGTGTGTCCGTAGCCGGTCTCGGCGCGGAGCATTCTTCGTGTCCGTGGCCGATCTTGCCACAGCGTTTGCAGTGAGCTTCGCGGTTGCATCCGTACTTGGAGTGGTAGTCCCAGCAGTTCTCGCATTGCGACAGCAGAGGTGCCTTGATGATCGGTCTTGCCAGTCTGCTGCAGCCAAACAGCCGCCATCGTCTTTTTGGTCGGTTCCAGAAAGGAGAATAAAAGGGACTTGGTAGGCAGTTGGTCGGCCGAACGCTGACCGGTTCGAGACCGGTCTAATGTTGCTGCCTCTTGGTCAACGGGTTGTCCCTGGAGGTCGTAGAGGTGTCAGGGGCAGTCGTCAACAATGTACGTATACCACTTCTGGCTGGCCTCGGCCTTGGTGGCCCAATCTCACTGCCGTTGTATCAGAAGGTCGCGGGTGGTGAGGTCGGCGGTGCGGACAGCCCATCCGGACTTAGTACGCGATGCCTGCGGGA